AGCGCCGCTAAGGGCCCGCGCCGCCGCCCGCCAGTGCCGCAGCTGCTGTACGGAGGGAAGCTGGACTTCCTCGTCTTCGACTACCTCTCCGAGGTCACCATGGCGCTGCTCGCCGCTGCCAAGGCCCGCTCGCCCGTGAGTACCCGTGTGCGCGGCCCTCGGCATAAGCCGCGCCCACGCACACATATATGTATGTGTATATGAATATGCGTGTATGAAGGAAGCGTTTCCTGTGCTGTGGAATCGGAGCTCTTGCAGCCTAACGCGGCAGCAGGCTGTCGGGGCATCCGCTGGGCGCAGCGGGACTGCGCTGCTTGACTGCCCGGCTTGAGCGAGGCCGCCACGGACCCTGCTGGGCCGAACGGCCCTCGGGGCCCGACCTCACGTCCCTGAGAGTCGCGAGGAAGCTGCGTCCTGCTTCCCAAGTGCTCTGCCTGCCCACTTCCCAAGTGCTCAGCTCCCGGCTCATGCTCATCCTTGAGTATGCAGGTTTCACGTGGTAAAAACAATCACGTCTTCTTCTGTAGCATTGCATAAATGTTGTTCTTTGGCGGTTTTCGTCTGTCAGCCAAGAAAAGGACAGGGGGTTGATATATCCCTAACAAGCAAGTTACGGGTTTTTGTTGTTTCAGGTTCTGGGTTACACTCCTGATTTTGTCTCCACTGCAATGGCTCCTTATATAAAAGACATTCACAGGAAAGGTATGCAGTCCTTTATGTAAGTTGATACCTTAGTGAAGTTAAGTCATAACTTAAGCATAATTTATTCCCTGGTCATTTATTTATTTTGCCATTTATATTAATGTATCTTCATAACTTGCTCAGTTTGGGAGGAAAAAGTGAGTTATTTCTCCTAAACTTGCAGTAGAGTCTGGAATTTATATACACATGCTTATTTCTATTAAAATGTAGTAGTTTGAGGAACATAGTTGTTTTGAATGACCAGCATCAAATGCTGCATTTATAGGAACTGTTACGACATCGTTTCCTCATCATGACTGTTCCTGGTTACTTTCCGTATGTGAAATATGAGAGAAAATGACCTATAACTCTTGGTGTATTTGTGGAGAAATCTGTAACACTTCTATATTGATTCAAACTATTTATTTTATTTCGCTGTATAAAGGCGGTTGACAACTTTAATATAGTTTACTTGACTCTGTGTCTGATACCTTACAGAGATGGTGTCTTGCTTATGTTTCAACACGCTGTAAGTTTTTGGAATACAAAGGATTGCTAGTGCTGCTGAATTCAGTTTGTCTTTCTGTTTAGGTGTTCGTGTCATCAGTAATGCTGGTGGAATTAACCCACATGCTTGTGCAGCTGCCCTTCAAGAGGTGGCAAAGAAAGCAGATGTTGACTTGAAAATAGCTGTTGTTGCTGGAGATGACCTAATGAGTGAGGTATTTTATTTTGTCTTAAGGTCTAGCAGGATTGCGAAAGTTCTTTTGTATAGCAAAAGATGACATTATCCTATACTTTTTATGCGTCTTTATGCAATCTTCTACTGCCAAAAGCATCTAAAATTGTTTCTTCATTTTAATTTTTTGATGCATGAAAATAAGTTTTGATGAATTTTGCTTGGCATGTAAAGGGATAAATTTCATAAGAGTCTCAGTCTGGTGTTTACCTTTCTGAAACAGGTTGTGAATCCTTGATCTAAGGTCTTCTCTCTCTTCAGGAGAATGTAGGGCATGCTGTTATTTACTGCTCTGTCTAAAATAATAATAATATACACCTAATCTCTGAATTTAAGTTGTGGTATTCAAATGTTCATTCTTCTTGGCTCTTTTTAATAGCTTGCACTCATTATCTGCTTTTACTTTGTTTACAGGTAACTGTTTTTAAAGTTTGTTGCCAGTAAGGTAGCTTTAAGTAGCAGCATTGAAGTTTGAATCTTTTCATGGAATTTGAAATCTAGAGATGAAATACATGGCTTTTTGGTCTTACCTTTTAAAGGCCTTTTTTTCCCCCTTCTTTATAGAGTCTTATTCTGCAAAAAAAACCTGTCGATCAAACTTGATAGCGTGAAAACAATTCCGTGCATTGCTGATGTTTGAAAAGTGACAGGCTTGAACTGTGTTTCAGTCTATGCCTTCAGCTTGAAGAATTCTTAATCTCTATAGGATGCGTCTAATTACTCCTTATGTGCTATTGAGTATGGAGGAAGCTTGAATAAAGCTTTTTCTTCACAAGTTATGTGACTTTGCGGATTATCTTGACTTTCTTTCAAGAAATATCTACCCTGTTTGAATTGGTGCAACATCAGTGGTTCCATATTTCATTAGTGGTATGATGGTGAAATGCTCCTTATTTGAGCTTGGCATGGATGTTATGTTTCTTATCTGAAAGGGATTGTTTTTTATGTTGTTGTCCTAACAAATATGAGCAAAATGCAGCTGTAGAGATTTCATACTGTGGACACCAAAACCCATAAATGACATAAGGAAATGCTATTTGTGGTTTCAAAGATTTAAATCTTTTGGTGATAAGAGATACTGAGATAAAAGATTGTCGTTCTCATTCTTGAAAAAACATGATATGTCAGAAAATTTTCAATAATTTGAAAAATATCTGGGGAAAGTTCTGCTGTTCATAACATGTCATCTATTCTCTAACTTGAAATGATGCTTTTTTAGGAGTTGCTGCATCTGAGAGTCAGATAGAGGCAAGATTGCTGCAGCCCTGTGCCTGGAAGTGTAGCCAGTGGCAAGTCTGATAGGTGCACATGCCGCATACACATTGTATATGTTTCTGTATCTGTATCTATACATAAACACTTCCCCGTTTATGAACGTACTGAAATGGCTACGCACCCACCTACGCATAAGCACACTGAGGTCCCCCACCTTCCCAGTGAATGGCCCTTGGGCCTGCAGCCCCCCTGCAGCTGCCCGTGCGTGGGCCCTTGCACGTTCTCCTGGGTGTGCACACACTGTAGATCCCTGCAGAGACCAGCCATGTACACGGAGCCAGTACAGTTGCTTCTGGATTCCCTAGTCTGCCTAGTTGTCTCATGCACAAAAACATTTCCACGCAAATCCGTCTCTTTGCGAATGTGTTGAACCTGAGAAAATGGGAAAGGATTGCCTGAAGCTACAGCATTAGCCTTGTTTTTTGGTCATGCAGCCATTGCTGTTAAAGTAGACGTGTTTTTGTTGGTATGGTTCGATTTATTCAGTTCTGCAGGAATTAATGACAGATTCACACCCTAAGGAATATATTGGCTCATTGGAGTAGCATTCTTTAAAGACTGTTTTCTTTTTCTGTGTGCACAAATGTTTTCGTTAATCATGTGAAAGGTTTCTGTAGTTCAGTTGATTTGTATTTTGTTTCAAGTTTTAACAATTACCCATTTCTTAGGAGTTGTTCTTGTTCAACAGAGTTGCTACAGTGGATTTATTGTCTGATGATTAATAAAAGGTTTATAGTATATGTATGCAAAATGTTAATAGGTTTGAGTTTTCTTTTTTCTTTTAATAGAAAGAGAACCTGAAAGGATCTGGTATCGTTGATTTAGAGAGTGGCAAGCCGTTTCCAGAGAGCATTTATAGCATGAATGTGTATCTTGGGTGAGTCATATAAGTTCTGCAAATTGGGTGGGGGCAGGGGTATAATATATTGATTGACTGAATGACATTATTTTGATTTGCAAATAGAACAATCTGATGCTTCAGATTCTCTGTGGCATATTAAAGCAACCATAAAAAGATGTATTTTCTTTGTTGCTTTTAAATACATTTTTAATTTAGAACTTTATCACTTCTAACTCTTTTGGATTATGTCTCCTGAAACTCTCCAAAATCACTTTAATAATTCCTCAAATCCTTGTGCATGTGCTGAGTACTCTGTTCTGCTGCATGGAGCACCATTGTTCAGGTTTGTCATCCTAGAGAAATGCAATTCCTGAGTGAGGTACTGTAACGCTTGGTGAATGCTGTAAAAGAGTTTAGTATTTGTGTGTCAGATTTTGTGCTTTTGAAACTTTGGAGGCTGCCTTTTTAGAACAGATCACTGTATTGAAAGATCTTAGGTATTTACGACACTGAGCAGCTCCTGGAAATCTCTCAAGTGCAGTGTTCTAGTGTCCATGAGTGAATGGTTACATTTTTATTGTCATCAGCAACTTCCTCAGGAAAATCAAGGTAAATCAAGTTTACCAAAAGTGAAGAACTGAGGAATGCAGCAATAGTCAGGCATTCCCAAACGCCAGCATCTCTTCCAGTTGACAGTCCCAGTTATGCTTTGTGCCTTATGTATCATGTATTTCTTACATTCTTACACACAGCTTCCCTCTATTACATTAAATCTTTATGGGAAAAACTGCCATGTTCTTTCTTGTGTCACTGTCACTGCAGTTTCTAGGAATGTGTTAGTGGCACATGGCAGGGCATGACTGTACCTAATGCAAAATGCATTTTTCTCTGTAAAACAAGGATCTCCTAATAGCTTACTCTTTTAATTTGTCTTCAGTGTTTCTGCTACAGTTGTTGCTAGATTTTCTGTTTGTTAAACTTCAATTTTCAGCATCTGTGGCTCAAAAGTAACTGTAAATAAGATTTAAAAAATAATAATATTTATAACCAACAGAAAGTATTAACTCCAATCTTGATGAGTCATGAAAACCAACTCAAAGCAGAGAGGGCAAAAGCAGACTAGTTGCCAGAATGATGCATTTTAAAGCTCTGGCTCTGCTCAGCTTTACTAACTGGTGCTATAACAGCAGAGAAAGGAGTGCCCCCCAGCACAAGCAGCATTTCTCTTATTCTTGGACAACTTGAAAGTAAAGCTATTCTTAATGCCTGGCATTGTCTGCGCTTCATAAGTTACGTTTTTCTTTGTCATCATCAACAGTGGAGGCCTATTTGTAAAGCAAAGGAAATTGGATTATGTGTGTAAACAACTTGAAATCATAGCATGCTATGGAAAATCTGTAAGTGCTACATATTGGCCTTGTCTTTTTTAATTCCCTAAGTCAGGTGATATTTACAGATTTGTTTGTTTGATTGATTTTGATTATTAATGTAAATTCCACCTGGAAAAAAATGCTTTCAGATATATATTCTGAAATGTTTCTTTTGTCCCACATTGCTTACTTACCTGGCTAGTGCTCTTTAGTCTATGTAGAAAGTCTTGGCTCTGTTCTTAAAAGCAGTCAGATAATATGGTTTGTGTTTTCAAGCTACCCATTTCATGAATAATGGAAGGATCGAGCACAGAGCATGAGTTTAGAGGCCCGAAGTCGTGCATTCTGGCCAAAGGTTTCTTACTACTCTCTGTATGAACGGTTCACCTGGACCTGTTTTAGAGCACTGCTAATTCTGAGTGGGCTAAGTACTAAGCAAATCTGGAATATTGGTCACCTAAGCTTTTTCGAAAACAGCCAGTGCCCCGTGATGATCTTTGGGTTGATTGATGTTTTAGAAACATTCACTCTGTATACACAATGACTAATTGATTGTTACTTTAAGTGATCAGGATGTTTAAGTGATTATTATCATATCTGTGTCAGGCAACTGATTTTTTTAAGCAAAGTTTTGAAAGGTGAAAGTGCACATTGTTTTATTTTGTCATCTTTAGAGCAAGACCAATAAGCAGGGCTCTTGACCTCGGAGCTGATATTGTTGTGACTGGTAGATGTGTTGACAGCGGGATTGTATTAGGACCCCTCATTCATTCAGTAAGTTTGAGTTAATTATCCTATGATGCTGAATGTATGGGAATGAATATTCAGTAATCGTTGTCAAGTATTTCTACTCCTTAAGGAAATGTAGATTCTAAATTAAAATAGTGAATTACTGTTATTACTTCTGCTTGCATGCATGAAACTTTGCCAGCTTTCATTGATTCTAAGTTTATAGCAGGGTTATTTAAATATGTGACTATATAGTGAAACTGGGAATCATCTTAAAGAAGTTCAGCAAATTTTGTCTTGTCTTATCAGGACTTCACTCCTAACTTTTTCCACTTTCAAATTTGGTGCGTGAGGTTAAGAAACATATTTTTGTTTACCACAAGGTGGCACTTGTAGATCTCTGTTTTCATGGGGGAAGAGAGTCTCATGAGATGGTCTAAAACACAGGCCTTTTTCAGTGGGTAAGCAGTTTTATTTTAAGAAGTTGAGTTTCAGTGCGACATTTTTCAAATTCTTTCCGTTTCAAGAAATAATGTAAGGCAGGTTGCATGGTTTTCTGCAGTGTTTCTGCATGTATACTTTTGTGAATGTCCACATGCTGTGGAACATTCAGGAATTCTTTTGGTGCGCATTTAAAAATACGCTGGGGTGTGTGTTAAGGTCTAGTTACAGATGTCCTTTCTAAAACTTCATACTCATTGATTTCATGCTTATAAAACATTGCCTAACTTCTGGTTAAGTTTTCGCTTTTATAATTGCGATTATTACCTGTTAATCTCTTCCTACCTATTTATATGTTCAAAAGGGTTGTTGACATATATACTTTAGAGATGCCTTGTGTGTTGTTTATGTTTTGTGGAGTTTTCTGTTAAATTCTAAAAAATTACAAATAAGAAACAAGGAATATATTGTTTGCATTATATTGAACTTCATAAAAACAACATGTAGTCAAACAAAAAAGACACTGCTTGTTTTCCAGAAAAACTAGTAGTTGTTCTGGAACTGATAAATTTCAAAGTTTTAAGGAAAAAAAAAAGATACTTTGTTTACATGGCACAGTATATTTTCTAGATATGTAAATGTGTAGTATATGCAAACTTTGAAGATTTTGAAAGCTCTACTGATAAAGTTTTTTGAGGATTGAGAATATATTTTAGTTTGGGTGTGTTAATAAGAAAAAAAAACCCGAACACATCAAAACTTTTACTCTCTTACTGTGCAGCAACTCATATCTGCCTGTCATTCTTACCAACTAGCTAGATTGTTCTTTAGATTTCTGTGAATGCTTAAATATGTACAAAATTGTTGTTACTCAGAGCAGTGAACACTATGCCCTCTACCATTTCCTCTACTGTATGAAATGTTGTCTATCATGTATTTGTATTTTTTTTTCTCCAGTTTGGCTGGAATAGGGATGAATTTGACTTACTAGCTGCGGGAAGGTAAATGAGATCAGAAGAAATGGGTAAAAGTGTATTTGATATCAAATAATGTCACAGTAACAAAATTTTAATGTGCAGAATCCCTAATGCTCATATTATTGAATGAATTTGAATGTTACAGTTTGGCTTAATAATCATTTATTGTAACTGAAATCATAAAAACTTCATTTAAAATAATAAAATGAGGGAAAGGGTGAAAGATTTTATTGAACACTGTAATTCCTTGTCTGTTTGGTGTCAAAAGAGGTGAAGTCTTAAAGCCCAATGGCTCTCAGCCTGTTATTTGGGCATCACTGTTGATAGTTGAGATGGCAGCATCTCTTGTCTTCTAAAATGTGGTGAGGGAAAAATTCTGTCATTGGTCAGCATCCATTTATAACTTTGCAGAAGTTGAGCATGGGTGTTGCCATTTGCAAAACTCTAAAATCTGAATTGGATTCAGAAAGTACAGAGTAAAAATCTGCTTTATCTAATTTAGTGCATCATCTTTACTGTGTTGTAGTCCCTCAAAAATGAATGATTACATGGCTGATTTAAGTGCACCTAGTAGTAATATTTTTGACCACCTACTACTTGAGAATAGATATGCAAAGAAATTTTGGCTCCACTGAGTCAGAAGTATAATGAGTAACCATTTGCCTTACAGTAAGATTTCTCCCATAATTCTTTTAAGTATTCAGTATCTATAGAATATAACAATGAAAGATTTGGACATCGTAATATATTCAGTTCAAGGATGTCCTTGGTATTTAAATAAGACTTTATAACTCTTAATTAAAAGTGAGTTTTGCACATTTAGTTATTATACAGTGCAGACAAACCAGATTACTGAATTTTCTTATTTGGAAACGAGCAATCAAACTTCATTTTTGGTGTCATATGATATCTTTTCAGATTGTTTTTTTTCTTAAGGAAGTTCATTTGTTTCTTCATGCAAAAGCCTTGTTCTTTTAAGCCTGCTTTTGTTAGGCTTTCAAAATCCCCAGTTCTATTTATGTGAAGTTTATAAACTTATTAATGGATGCTTATGGAAAAAGATCAGCACGTTCTGTTACTTAGCTTTCTTTTTATTGTACTGTAATTATTTTAGACTGTACTTGTGAAACTTTGTTTTGCAGAATACTTAGTTATTTGAACATTTGCCATTTTCCTAGCCTTGCAGGTCATCTCATTGAATGTGGTGCTCAGTGTACTGGTGGAATATTCACTGACTGGCATGCAGTACCTGACTGGTAGGTAACCATGGTATCAACATGTGTGTTTGTGGTGCACCCAAGATAAGGTTTCCTGCTATTTCTGAGTTGTAATGTCTCTTCACCCTTTTTTTTGGAGGAAGAGAAGTATTTGCCTTTTGATATTTTTCTGCTTTTGAGTTACCCTGCAGTTACCCTCATTTTCCCTCTTCCAAATTTCCTTTCTGGTTAACTGGGGACTTTGATAAAGCAGTAGATGCTTTGAAGCAAGAATTGGCCGGGTTTTTTTTTGTTGTTGTTTTTTATAATATTGTCTTTTTGGTGTTTTCTTTAATCTGTTTTTTGGAAAGATTTCTTGTTATATTACTGTATGTAGTGGAAAAGACTATGAATATTTGCTATGTTGTTTTATCAGTCTTTAGTTAGATTAGTTAGATCAGCATTGATTTACAGGTGAAGGTGCATACTGCATCAAAGGAAAGAGGGTCAGACACCTCACATATTACCCCGAAATAATTGCACTCCTTTCATTATCATGATCAATGGGAATGATGAAAGGCAAGGTTTATGATATGACATTCTTAAGTGCCGTAAGTGCTAATCTAATCCCTGTGTCTTGATATTTTTATGCTGTATTATGAAACTGATTAAAACCTCCTGTAATCTTGACTCTTACAGACTTTTGATGTGTGAAAGAATAAGGAACTCTCTTCTCTTCTCCCCTCCTTTTTTGTATTTAAAATACTGAGTTGTTCTTTATTTTTAAATATTTTTTTTGTTTAAAAAGATAGTCTAGCCTAAAAAAAATCTATTTGTTATACAAACAGAGCTAATATTCAGATGCACACATATGCATGTGTGTGTAAATCAGAGAGCTGTATCTAAATTATATAGATCTGTATCTAATATATAGATACATAGATATCTAAAATTGCAGTAGCCTTGTAGCTGACAGGTATTAACTTGAATTGCTACTAACAAATACAGAAGATTAGCATTAAATACTGCTTTAGAACCTAATTGCCATCTTCCATCTGCATGCACACATTTGAGCCATGACTGATTTTATAACAGTAACTTTTTACCTTCATAAAAAGTCTGTGGAACCATTATTACAGTGGCTTAGAATTGTTAAATGTTTTTGTAACTCTAAGAAGTCTCAGACATTTAACTGATCAAATTCTTGAAACAGAAGTATGATATTCTGCCCATGAGATATATTATTAATGCTATTCAAAACAAAAATATCTTGTGAGCTTTAATATTTTGTATTTAGAGAGGAAGAATTGAAGACTTGACTAAGGCAGACTTGTAGTCCAGTGCATTTCATGGAATACAGCAGAACTGATTTGTTAGTTCACTCATTTCTTTCTTGAGAAAAAGAAGGTGTTTTGTTTTTAGCTCTAAATGGGTCCTAGTAAGCTAGGGGAGGTGTTAATAAATGGATTTTTTATTTGCTAGCTTTATTAACTGTTGTCTGACTCTTAAGAGAGGAGAGAGAAGGAAAAAAAAAAAGAGAAAAACAAAAAAGCACCAACCATTCTTTTCTATTTGAACATTTGGAATTGGTTATTAATGCATGCAGATTCATGTAATCTTACAGTGGTTATTCATATTCTCTCAGTAAGGAACTAATATGCTGTATCTGCTCTCACCAATATTGCTTATACTGCCAGTAGTTCAATGGAACATACTTGAAAATAAAACATACTTGACTGCAGCCCATTAATGATTTTTGTGTAGGTTAGAAAGAACTACATTTTTGTTAGACTCCTGAAAGTAAACCTGTCATTTAAATTTCAGTAAATCCTAGTCTAGGGTAGGCAAAATTGTGCCCAAACCAGCTCAGCAGTGTCTGTAAATGTGGGAGGAAGAGGCCAAGTCAAATTTCTATCTTATCATTAAAATACTTCTTACATGTGAGTTTCCCACCACCATGTATTAATGCAGCCCAAAGTGTTTATCATTCAGCTCCACCAACACTTATTTCCTGGGTCTTTACCACTACAGTTTAAGAATACCTTTAACAGCATTTAACATACCTTTAACAGCATGCCACTACCTCTGGTGTAATAAGACACTAGAGGGCAATCTCGTGCTCGTCCACTTTATTAGGGAGTGGGATTTGGTTATGGTTGCTAAGATTATTGCACTGTCTTTGCCTCTAGGGTTTGTTTTGTTTGTTTTTGTTGCTATCTACTATGTATCTCTGTTCTTGGCTGTTGGAAAAGGTAGAAGTGTCCTGCTAAGATGGCTTGATGAGCATGGGTATTTCTCATTTGGAGACAAAAATACTTTAATGTGGGTTTATTCTGGTGATGAAATGGTTAGCTCTTAAAACATAAGCTACTCTTTCTTTGCTGTCTCAGAGAAGACAGTTTTAATAAGAGTAAAGTGTATCTTCTGGCTCATGGCTATCCAAATTGTTCTATCCATTAGAAGCCTGCGTTAATTGTAGTCTGATGTCTTAATGCATTGGGACTCCTCTAATTGTGATGGATTATACTGCTGGATGTATTGCTCATTTGTTTAGGGTACTTGGGGGCATATCTTAAAACTGATTTTTTTTTTACTGATTTTAAAGAAAACAGGTGGACAAGTAGAAGGAATGGGCATTATTTACTTTTCCAGTGAGAAAAAGGCTCCTGAAGTCATCTTTTCTGTGAATTCTCTGATGTTTAGTAGAGAAAATGCAATAGAGCATTAATTCACGATTTACAAAAGACTAAGTGTACATAGTCATTTTAAGTAACGTTGTCAAAAGATACTCTTGCCTTTTCTGTTATTTGTGCAACAGTATATTCTAGCAAATGGATAAAAGAGGCTAAATTTAAAGGCCAAAAGAGGCTAAAATTAATATTCTTTACTGATTTGCTTGATGCCTCAGTGCTCCTTATTTAATGTCTAGCACAGCAGTCAGTAGGGAACTCACATGCTGAATGAAAATGTACTGCTATGCCAAAAGTATATCGATAACGGAATTCTTAATTTCATTCTGGACATTGCTGTCTCTTGGTATTTAGTGCCAGTAGGTGACTAGTACACTATTGTGTTTTGTTTTGAAATGCAGGAGAGAATAAACTAAGGCTGATCGTTAGTAATCATTTTGAGGAGGTGATAAACACTGACATTTTGTCCTCAGCCAAGAGTGTACAATGGTTGAGACTGCATGATCATCTGGCCTGGGATGACCAAAAGGGTAAGTCAATAGTTGGAGTCTCTAAGGACTGGATTCAGATTGCTTAATTTGGGCCTTGAACAGAATCCAGCATGCAAGTCCCAATCAGCAATATGGGATGCCTTTTCTCTGTAGTACCGTCTGTTTCCAGTCCTCACTAGACAGCATGTCTGGTTGACCTGAAAAATCTCTAGGTATTTATGTACTATGCCTGCTCCAAAAAGCCCAAGCTGGAGGAGGAAGATGATGAGATAGCTGCATTCTGCCTAAATCTGAATTGCAGCAATGTTTGATTAACATGAAGAGAAGGCTGAGAGGGGATCTAATCAGTGTATATAAATACCTTAAGGGAGGGAGTGAGGAGGATGAGGCCAGCATCATTTCAGTGGTGGCCACCAATAGGACTAGAGGAGATGGCCATAACCTGAAGCACCCAAAGTTCCACAGGAACTTAAGGAAAAAATTCTCGACAGTGTGGGTGACAGAGCACTGGAAGAGGCTGCCCAGAGAGGTTGTGGAGTCTCCCTCTCTGGAGATCTTCAGAACCTGCTTGGACACAGTCCTGTGCCACGTGCTCTAGGTGACCCTGTGTGTGCAGGGGGTTGGGCTAGATGATTTCCAGAGATTTCTTCCAACCTTAATGATTCTGTAATTCTCTGATGGGTACCTGTATATCAAGGGTATACCCATATTGCCTGTATGCCCCTAAATATGTGCTGACCTGGCCTGAGACATGCTAAAAGTTTCAAATTGGTTTAAAAAAAATAAAAAATAACATATCTAGATGTGGTAGCAGTTTTTGCTTTTGCCTGATAGCATTGTGGCTAAAATACTTTCCCAGGGAGCTGAGGAACTTGGGTCTAAGCTCTCTTCAGTTGGCCATTCATTGAGTCACATACCAGTAAACTATTAGCTACAAAGCTAAAAGTTCGTGCGATAGCCTGCTTAGGCCATGATGCCTGCTCTTTTCTTTTTGCTTTCTGGTCTTGTAGCATCTTCCCTGACAAGTATATGTGCTTTCACCTGCATTTTTTTTGATGTTGCCAGTAATCGTTTCAGTTTGCCAGTAAGGGCCAGAGTGAGATATTTCAGGGTTTTGATACTTAAAGGAAATGAGGGAAGAAAGATCCTTTTTTTATCTCAGAAATATTTTTTTCTTTTTTTAATTCTCCTGAGCCTGTCAGGATGCCAATATTGATCCTAATGATGATTATTTTTATAATGCAAATACTGTAAGATGTACAACATAGGGAATGATGTCTTTACAGCTGTCCGAAGGTAAAATAGCACCTTGTCTAAGAGCAGGTCAAGAGAACAATTCTGGGTATAGCTCGTCTCGGGTGCTAACATTTCTCAGAGACAAAACTGAAGAAAATATAAGCATTTTACACAGAAAGAAAAAAACATCTAAGAGGAGATGTTTGGACCTCGTGTTACTTCTCCATCCTGACAATTTCAGAGCTCTAGTTCCTATTAGAGTAGGACAGTAACTGCAGGTATGAGAAGCTGGCTTCAGCAGCAAAACCAGTTTTGAACTGTGGTACCCCTGTGCTGCAGTTAGTGAGGACCTCACCGTTAACTCGCCAGTTCAACCTGATTAGGAAAGGAAGGGAACTACAGCTTTTTTCGTTTCGTTGAGGCTTAATATTAGCCTGGATTTATTCAGATGTCTCGCTAATTAACCAGACAACTTACTTGTCAAATACCAAACACACAACCTGAAACAGACATGTTGGATAAAGCAGTGGTAGTTGCTGAAAATCAGATTTGTGAAAGATGGTATTTCCTCTGTATTTCAGCTCCATGTTAAAAGAATAACTCAAAATACTTCTAATTGTAGTTTCATCTATAATACTGTCTTTTACTGATTACATAGTAATGTAATTTAATACATTTTATTTATTTATTTTGCTTGTTATTGCCCTGTTTTAGTAGGGAATTTTTGTCGTCAAACTTATGCAGTCATTTTATTATTAAAGCATGCCCTTTGGTCATCATGCAGCTGACGACTGGCAAAGTACAAGTTCACAGTTTGTGGTTTAATTCCCTTGCTATGTTGTACAAGATTACAACTTGGCCATGGGTTATGTCAGTTCATGTTGGCACATTACAGAGTAGATTACATGCACTCTGTAGCTCTTCAGCAAAATATCTTAAAGCAAAGTCAGAGACAGGATTATTTCTTTGAGTGAAGTGCTGATCAGAGTGAGGATGTAGTTGTGGTACACGTGGTTATGTGCGAGGATACCTTATCCAGGTAGTTATTGCTGTTAGTGAGCAGCAACTTCAAATTTAAGGACCTGTCTTTTAACATCAATGCAAACAGCAGCAGTGAAAAATATTCCTGATGATCTCTCGTTTGTTGCATCTCATGCTGTAGGGCAAGCAAAGTTTGCTTCCAAGTTGAAGGTTAAGTAATATATTCAAGAAGATATATTTTAATGTCAATTATTATTGGCATCTGTTGTGAGGAAGTATATGATCTTTTCCCAAAGAGGTCGTGTTGCAAAATGGATGCAGTCTGGGGGCTTCTTGCTGAGTTCATTTGCACTAATGTAGCAATTGTATGGTATAAATGCTGAGGTTAATAGCTGAGCATGACTAACACCAGTGCTGGAAGCATTCCTGGCTTTTTCTTGTTCTGTGCGGCTTGACACGGTGTATGTGCTTAGGATGGAGATTGTTGCTGTGGTGTGTGTGTGTTTGTTTTGTTGTTTTTTGTGTGTGTGTGTCAGGTGGTCGTACTCATACTGCATGTGATATGGGCATATATGGATAAGATAAACTTAACTTTTAGGTATTCTGATTCAGAATGAAAATTTTCTTAATTGCGAATACATGCCTTTCATTAAGAGTGCTTCATGGTTTGTTTTATGCAACAGTAACAGTTATTTTCAGTCTTGACTGTTCAATCTTGACCATGTCAGTGGGACTTCACCAGAGGAACACCCCAGAAGACTTGGACTGGAAATGGGAGATGTGGAGTGTGGGTGTTTAGTTGATATAGGAAGGGGGACATAAGAAATTTCAGAGGTTTCGTTTCTGTCTCACCTCAGACCTTTAGTATTGCTTCCTGTATCAGCCTTCTTTCCTGAGGAAGATTGCCGCTTTCATTGTTACCCTCTTACTTTCCTGTTAGACTGTCTTCTCATCTTCATACTATTTTCTTCTAAGCTTTGGGTCAACACTCTGCTGCAAGTGATAAAAACTGGATGCATTCATATATAGCAAATAACGTCTCTGCTGATGTTCTAGGAAATGTTGTTCCTATCTGGTCTCCTCCCCACTACTGTTGTGATGTGAAAAATTCCAAAGGAAAATTCCAAATTGCCAAAAAGATCCTGTGGGAGGGCCTTAAGATACCAGGAAAATTATAGTTATACTTTTGTTTCACATGTCAAATGCTTTAAATGATTGTGCTTTTCATATTGATATGTTTGGCTTCTGTTTTCCACGGTTGGTCCATTTTTAGTGAGCTTAGCCCTTTCCAGTGTCCAGAATTTTAGGGATGCAATCCCAGCATTACCTCAGGACATTGTTGTCTTGTTTCCTTGGTTTGTTTTTTAGCAGCCCAAATCTTTTGGGAGTGGACCCTGGGTAAATTAATTTTAATCTTTTTTTTTCCCAATTTTTTCTTTCTTTTTTCTTTCTTTTTTTCTCTAAGCTTTAGCTACCTCAGAGGTTCAGAGTAGAAAGCTGAGTATCTGCACAAATGTGCCGCAAGTGTTGACGATTTAGTTTTAAGGCAGGTTGCAACAAGGATACGTGTCCTCCCTGCTGCTTTGTGTTGTGGCTGCACCATCTGGATGACACTGAGGAATCTGTCTTCATAGAAGTGATTTTCAGTTTTGGGCAAGTGATTCAAACCTGTGCTGAGCCTGTTAGCAAGGCACTCAGAGGAGTATTGCCTGAAGAAAAGACGGGCAGTAGGGTTAAAACCCACAAGCATACCACTAGGAAGTTAAAAGCTCCTTATTTATTACCTTATTCAATCACTCATCTTGTGTAACACTGGATGAATTACCTTCCTCCCTGTATGTGTCTCATCTGTAAAATTTATTATCTGCAATAATAACATGTTTATTATTTTATGTTTGAAGCTGAACATTGAGAGATATTTTGGGGGATATTGCTTTATTTTATTCACATTCTAAAACTGAATGTTACGTAATTTCTACCAACGTCTTTTTTTTTCCTCCTAGAAATCTAGAATCATCTTAAATCAACTGCTTCTTACAAATTCAATTTTTTATATACAAAGATTTTTTTTTCCCACCCCTTTATCTGTTTTCTGTTTCAAACTCCAGGCTAATGAAGTATGATCTCTCATGATTCATGGTGGACTTTTCTAGGTGTTCCCCAGCTACCATAGATTCCAAGTTTGGTATACAATCAATGTTGAAGTTGTCGATCTCCAGTAACAGAGCTTATTTCTTAATTTTTTATTATTTATTTATTTATTTATTTAATAATGGAGTTGTGTTTGGAGCTTCCCAATGTTAAGGAATCTGTCCAAGCTCCCATGAACTTTTACAAATGTCAGTTATAAGAGTTCATTGGTTTCTTTACTTCCTTTAAAACTTTGTGGATTGTTATCCAAACTATGTTCATCTAACCTTTGTTAATAACCAACTTGGTTGTATGTTCAGCACATTGTTCTTACTAGCACCCAAAGATAGTTAATTGCAGGGATGAACTGGTCTTAAGTATTCTGTAAAGGATTTTAATCTTGTGAAAATAGAGGGGAAGGGAATATTTTAATTTATGAAGACTTCTATAATTTGCATTTTTACTGCTTTTTTTTCTCTCCCTCTTTGCCATGCCTGATTATTTCTTTCCCTCTTTTTCTGTGTTTTACTATTGTTCTGATCTAGAGATCTTAATTTCATCTTCCTATTTTCTTACTATGATTTTTGTGTGTGTATAATTTGTCACAAACATGCAAAATTGTCCTTAAATTGTATCACAACAAAAAGTTGTAATTATTTGTGTTTCTGCTTTTCCATTTCTGAGACTTCCAACCTAGACTGCTTTTTACTGCTTGACTTTCTTACAAATCCATTTTCTAGACTACATTAACCTGTGTGTTGCCTTCATTCTGTGTCTGCTGCTATAGCCAGACTAAGTAGTGTAATCGTATTGAAACTTTCTTTTCCTCAATCTTTTCTCTGTTCAGAACCGGCAAATGTGTTTTTCTTCTAAATTAACCTCTTCATCTGTAGTTCCTCTAAGTGTTGGCGCCCCTCCTCGTTTTACGATTTCTGTTGGTGTCCTAGTTTGTGGTTTCTCCTTCATTCCTTTCTCATCTCCTTTCCCTTTACAGTTGATGTTTGATGTTTTATCTGTACTGCTTTGGCAGGCAATAAAATGCATCCTCTTGTTATCTTGCTTAGCCATTTATTCAGTGGTTTTTCTTGTGTAGGTTTCTACAGAAGGAACCAGATATGTTCTTAATTGATGACCAATTTTATTTAGTTGGTTATGACAGGAAAATGCTGATATGCTCTTAATCATTATTCTTTCCCCCCCTCCCCCTTCATATTTATAAGTTTTTGTTTTTGTGCTTTTGGTATTTCAGGCATAACATAGGCTTTCCCATTGTAGAATGTTCCTCTGAAGGAGACCTGATTATTTCCAAACCACCCGACACAGGAGGGCTGATCTCCTTTGGCACCGTGGCCGAACAATTGCTGTACGAGGTTGGCAACCCACAGCGCTATCTCTTGCCAGATGTCACGTGTGACTTTTCTGAAGTTTCCATCACAGAAATTCCAGGTTAGTCCTACATCACATTAAGAGATCTGTGTTAGTGGACTGGGTTATCAATCTAATGCAATTGCTTTAGTTTCCGTTTTTTTCTCTGCATAGTCCTTCAGAGCATGATAAATATAATGGGCTGATTGTTTTTTTGAGGAATTTTTTTGGATATACTTATCTTGTTTGTTGACTGACATAAATCTTTTGATCATTTTTCTTTTTGATTATTTTGATCCTTTTTCATTTCTACTTGGATTCATGTCTTGCGTAGTTTACAGACTTGCTAAGTGCATTGTGTTGTGAGCAACATAGCAAAATCTCATAGTAGAGCTTTCTCAATCTCTGTAGCTGTGGCTCAGTTGCTTTGATTTAGAAGGTGATGTTTCTTGTACATGTTCACTCACATGACACTTGAAATGTTAGTAACAACAGACAGCTGTACCTTGCAAAACGTTACTCATAATGGCTTTTTCCTAGATGTCTAACGGGTCATCTTAAGTGGTAGGAGCTTGCTTGGTACAGGTTAAGCCCTGCAGAGCTTCTGTGAGGAAAAGGCCCCGTTTGTCATAATCAAATCTGTGAACAGACATACCAACAGACTAAGAATGGATATAAAATTCATTCTGGATTCAGTCTTTAGGTCTGTTTGTTTTTATTGTTGTTTTAAGATTTGTGGGTTTATTTTAAAAAAATCAGTAAAATATTTAGCTCCAGTATTAGGACATTTATATTTATTGCATCTGTACTACATAGTTTGTGTCTCTCTGTATTTTAATGGCACTAACCATTGACAGGCATGCTAAATGATCTTATAAAACCTAATTCAATGCAATTAAAATCTCAAATTAAAACCTTAATATTCTAAACTCTGTAACATCAGAAATGTTTTGCTTCAGTAGTAAGAGTAGCATGAAATTGTACAGTGAAACTTCTGCCCATGCAACATAATGAAATGACAGTCTGGCAAGGCTGGCTTGTTACTCTTAGCCACTATTTCTTGGAAAAAAAAAAAAAAAAAAAAAAAAAAAAAAAAAGGGGGGGGGGGGGGAGGAGGAGGAGAGAAGCCTAACCTTCCTATGAACTTTTAGCTTGCAAATGACCCAATATGACATGTTTGAACTTAAAATGAACTTTCACATGAACTTTTAGTTAGTCCTCTTAGAAATATAACAGATGGAAAATAGGCAGATTTCTTAAATATTTTTAGATTGAAGTGCTTTGACACGTACCCCAGTTAGATCGGGGCAAGCTATCTGGTTTTGCTGTTTACATTGCTGGTTTTATTATCCTGTTGGATTAGTTGCAATGCTGGAACCAAGAGGTGCTTCTGTTTTTTCTTTTTGTCAATGAATGCCATGGATTTTGTTAGGTTTTGTTAGTGTTTCTCCATCACCTAGCGTATAAAACTCTTCCAGAGCTTTATTCTGACTGCAGAGATGTTCTGTGTTGGTAGAGTCAATTAACTGTATGTCAACCTGTGGAGATAGTGTTATTTTTGAGTGACCTATAAAATTTATGCTAGATGTGTCCAGTTTTTCAGATATATGCTGAAGGAATTGTTGTCTTTTGATCTTTTCAGAATATTTAGGTAAATCTTCTAATTGTTTTCTGAATATTTTGGAGTATACACTAGGCACAGGTGAGCTACAGGGTAATTCTGTTTATATTGGATAGACACATAAATGCAGTGCTTATCCTGACATGCTAATTTTCAAGGGACTGTGCCTATTGATTTTCACCAGTGCAAGCTCAAAGCCGATGACATGGGAGCAGTTTCTGTAGTTTCTTATGGGCATTAATATAATAACACCTGGCACAGAGCACACATATGGAACGTGTGTTCAGGCTGTTTATTTCTGTTAGAAACAAGAAAACTAAACTACCTTTCCATTTACCAGGCTACCAACAAATAAGATTTCTTTTTTTTTCCTCCCATTTTGTGTATATCCCAAGTGAAGGACATCAGCCTGCTCTAGCCAACTACAGTAAATTGAATGCTCTGTATGTCTGCAATAACTGGCTGTTAATTGGCAAATAATTACGGGGTCCAATGTCCTAAGGTTACATTCTGTGTTAAGTATTTAAAGTAAATGAATAAACATTTCAAGCATTATATTAAAATGCTCATTGAAGTCATAAATTTAGTCACTAGTTTGCTGTCTGTGTTTGTATGGAGGACTATAGTGAAGCAGTGGTTGTGCAGCTGTCAGTGATTGGTTTTAAGGTTGATATGCATCACAAGCAAATTGTCTTTGAAGTTATATTGAAGAAGCTTCTATATAGAACCACAGAGTCATTATGGTTCAAGTATTAATTTTTAATTTTTAATTATTTTAGGTATTGAAGGTGGGGCAGTGAAAGTTCATGGAGCAAAAGGATCACCGCCTTCAAAATTTTATAAGGTATTATCTCTTTCTATGGAGCGTAAAGTGTTTTGATCTTAATCTGGCATGTGTGGAGAAAATACTAAGCATTTTGTGCCAAGAACTGCCACCACATTAATCTTGTTTTTTTTTTTTTTTTACTCAAGAGTAACAAAAATTAAAACAGCAAGGAAAAAAAAACAACCCACAACTGTGCGCTGTCTTGAAATTCTCGTTTGTATAATGAGATAATCCAGAAATCTCCAGAAAAGGCTGAGATGGTTCTTTAACAATTTCCCCCCAAAAATGTCTGTTATCACACTATTGTTCATACACTGTTTATTCATTCTTATTCGAACATGGCAATCTTGTATTTCATTAGTGAAAAACATCTGACATGTATTTCAAAGTTAAGTACCAAGTAACTACCTATGCCAAGATAGCAATTAAGTAGAAGACAGTCTTTTGTGTAGTCTTTTGAAATATTCTACTGAAAGAAATTTGCACTTCTGGTAAAAGTGCAAAGTTTATTTGCTGTTTTTCTTCTAGTGGTCTCAATTTTCTGAACAGACACAAATGTAATACAATTCTGGTGAGGTTCTGGTAGAGCTGCATCACTTTGCTGTTTTAAATAATGACAAAACTGACATTTACAGAAGCAAGGGTAAGGCAAGGAATTGATTGTTTTCTTGATGCCATGATGACGACTTCTTGTTATTCCACTTTTGATTAGCATTTGGATGAATAGTGCCAGGGAGATTTATAGTACTTCAGTACTGATTCTCATGTAATCGTATGCTCCCCCTTCATTAGGTGAGTGCCACTTACCTTGATGGTTTCAGAGCTACTGCTGTCTGCCCAGTGGGAGGGCCAAAGGCTGTGCAAAAGGGAAAATGTACTGCGGAAAGTATTCTGAAAAGGTTAGTGTTTGAGATTTGGAAGGGGCTTTTACATTTTGTTTCTAGGATCAAGATCAAAATAGAACAGAGAACTGTTGAAAATAGATAGCTAAATAGCACAGAGGGACCCAGATTAATGGGAGAAGTTGCAAATCAGAAAAACATTTATTAGATGTCAGAAAGAAATGCAAATGAAATCAGATTGCATTGATTCCCACAGAACTCTCTGTTTTTTTCCTTTTCATCAAGAATCTTAGTGCTATGAAATATAGGCAGTTTACCAAGATGATATTTTAAATGTTTAAAGTTTGTTCTGCAGCCTTGTCAGGTGTCGCACATTATTTTGTATGCTAGAAAATGATCTGTGTGGAAGATCTAATAAACCTTTAGTCATGTTTTCATGTCAATGTATGTGGGGGAAGAGGAATTCCTCTTAAAAATGTATCTCCTCAGAGAAGTCTCCACCAAACATTACTTAAATAGCACCCAATCTTTCTAGCTGCTTCCTTTTTATTATGTTATATATGTGATCTCTTCCCCCATCATCTGATAGAGTTGTGGAGCAAGTACAGACAATGCAAGAAATGCAGGATTTAAGGCTGCATTATGCAGGCTTACAGCATAAAATACCTTTCCTATGGACATGCACAGCCCCGTGCTGAAACTTAGGGACTGAGGACTGCAGCTAGCCCACGAGTCATGCTTCAAGCAGCTGTTGCTAGTTCTGTGCGTTAAAAATGACAATAGAGAGTATTGTCCTATGTTTTAGTGAAGGGCTTAATGTGGGGAGTTGTTTACTGAACATGTCCAAAAGATCTGTATATACAGACCCACGTGCAGAGTAAGAGTTAAGGTATGTCTGATCACTGTCAGAGAATGCTCTGCCAGGAACCATATCCTTTTAGGATATGTGTGCTTTTAGGAAGCACTAATTTCAGCCTTTCCACCCATTCCTATTGCAAGAGAATAGGACTGTTGTGAGGACAGTAACAATCTTTCAGGTAGCCGGCTTCTAGTGCTTTATAAATTAAATTCCTCCTGGTAGTCTAATGGCAAGAAGTGTAGATTTCAGCGCACAGATTGAAGCTGCTTCACTTGTTCAACTTAATAGGCAACCTAAGGCATTAAGTCACTTTGGCAGCTCAAAATGACTACTACAACCGTTTTTTCTTGCACCTCTCCTTTATTCATTTATTCTTTGCAAATGCAAGAAAGATTTGGCAGAGCGTGTGTGAAGTCTGTTTCAAGTAGTCTTCAGCCTTTCTGTTGTATTACAAAGGAACATGAATGGGCTAAAAATTACCCACGGAATATATTTTGAATGCTCTTTTCTCTAGCTAACCATTTTTAGGCAAGTAACTTAAAATAATTAGCTACAAATACAATTTGCAAGTCTAAGTGCCTTAAACTGAGTATTTGTCCTTCTGTGGTCACCAAAATATACCATTCTATGGTATACTGACCACCTTCATCTCTATGCAACTATTATAAAGTTGCATTTTATATTTAAGTCCCACTGCTGCTTTGTTACCACATTTAATATTGACAATAATTATTGTCATAATTGTATATTGTCATATAACGATGAAATCTTTTAAAGAGCTAGAAGGGTGCCAGACAAAGGATTATTGGAAAACCAATTTAGGTGCATCAGCTGTTCAACTGTTTTAAACTGCAGTGGTAATTCTCAGCTTGTATCATGTTTGAACACTGTGCTATACTTTGAGAGTTGTTGCAAATGCTGCCTTTAATCCGAATTTAATATTTGGCAAAACAGTGTTTATTAATGGAAAAAAATAGAAAATAGCAAAAAAAATAGAAAATAGCAATGTATAATTTTTATGAACTCTAAAGTGTTTGACAAATTCCATAGTACCAGAGGAAAAATCCTTGAACAAAAAGTTCTGTTTAAACATGTATTTGCTACTTCCAAAAAAATAAGTACCTTTAAAGTTTGAATGAAATTTCCTTTTTAAGTTAAATTTTTCTTCTGTAGTGCCTTTGATGTAGTGATATAGTTTCATATATTCATAAATTGTTTAAAATGTCTTACAGAAGAAAAACAAAGGCTGAGTTTCCTGTATAAAAAAACAGGAAGACTGTATATACTGTAATTATATTTCAAACTCTGTCTTAAAGATGAAAGTAAAAGATCTGGATCCATATATTTGCTTATCATCTTTCAAATAAATAAAGAAAAGGTTCAAATTGAAACCCAGGGATAGAATCAGATGGCAGTGAAAAGTGTTCATATTGCAGTCTACATGGCAGAGCTAACTGCTGTGGACCACACAGGACTGCTTCAAAGAACTGTTCTGAGACAGTTCACTAACAAAACGTCTTTTGTTGCAGGACTCGTCTTATTTTCAGTCAGCTTGGGTATGAAGATTACAGTGCAGTTAACATGCAGGTTTTAGGGTCTGAAGATACATATGGACCTCACGCTAGAAGAAGTATAGACGGTGTAAGTATTCGTGGAGTGTTTTTAAACTTCTGCTGACCTCTGTTAATCTCTCTGTATTGTTATCTTTTCTGTAACTTTAAAGGAAGTCACTATCATCTCAGGAATTTCACCCCATCATCTCACAAAGATTTCAGTGTCACTGCTTAGTGTGCAGAAAGTGTACTCATGTCTTTGCAGTATTGGCTTTTCCAGAAGAACTGTTAGAAAGTCTTACAAAGATACTGTTGTAGCCTGTTGTGGTGATTTTCATATAAAGAAGTACTTCTTTACAAAATTTCTTGTGATACAAGCTTTTAAATTGAATTGAAGATAACTCTGAAAGACCATAGTATAAAATTTGCAGAATCAGGAAATGGCAGAATTATTTCTCATGCAACTTTAAAAGTGTCTGTGAGTACTCTTCATGAAACAGGCTTCATTTCATCATTATGTTTTATAACTTCTTATATTTGCTTGTAAGAATTTGAAGGCTATAGTGACTGAGACATTAAGTTTTCTTGATCTACAATATGGTATTCTTCTTATTTTAAAAAAATGCCTTTTTTAAGGTTGTAAATCTCGTCCTCACTTACATATACTTGAAATATTTAGATAGTTTAGCCTTTTCCAAAACAGTAGCATTAATTCTTCTTTGTAAACGGCAATGCCTTGCGAAACTCTTAAGGTACACATGTGGCAAAACTCAGCTCTGAGAATTTGATGTAAGGAATGTCAGCATTTAAAATAGCTGAGTATTTGTATTTTCAAAAGCATATGTTAGTGAGAGTGAACTTTTTACTGTAAAAAATAATTACTCATAGAAATTGTGTAGGTTATATCTGCAGCTATTCATTTTAGTGCTGGAGCTTCAATTTATTTCTCCACAGCAGCAAAAGTCACTTCCTGGTGAACCATTTCTATAGTATGATCTTCTTCGTTTTTAAGATTATAAATCCCACTATGCTAAAAGTGTATGACTAAGATTGCAGAATCAAGTTTTTCAAACATAGGAACAGATGTTCCAGATGTTGTATATGTTCTGTTAGTTCCAGCTCCTTATGATTATTCATTGTAATATATTCTTTAATAACATAGTTACATAGTATGGAATGAATAATGATTTTTGAGAATATGTTCCTTACCTTTTGTCTTTCTTACTGCACTGTGAATAGATTTTTCCAAATCAAGTTGAATATTTATAGTATTTCTTGTATTTCAGCCACAACTCTCCATTTTCTGATTAAAAGTAGATAGAGTGTTCTCTCTTTTATGTGCTTCCATATATTTTATACAGAAAGCTGGAGGTGAAATATGGGAAAACCTTCTGCTTCCCCTTTCACCCTCTTCCTCCAACAGTTAGAAGAAATTAAGCAGAAGTTCTCATCTGGAAACTAGCAGCTGTAGCTTAAGGAGAGAGGAGTGGAGCCTGACTTTAGCATTTAATATGTAAAGTGGAATCCTAGGCAAAAACATCTGCCTTCTGGGCTCTCAGGGAGAAATCGTGTATTCTCTTAAACACTATTTCTCAGTGCATCTTTCCATGCAAAATTAGATCTGTTCATTTGAATTACAAATAACAGCAGTCAAAAACAGAGCCTTGCTTAACACACAAAAGTTCCTGATTTGAAAATGTTTCCATCTGAATTTATAGGAAAGGCAAATATATGTATGAATACTAAGACAGGAAAAGTATATCAAGCAATACTCACAGCTTACTGGAGGTGTCTGGTGTGACTAGGCTGATTGCCACACAGGTCTGTCAAACTGTATTGTATTCTCTGAAGTCTCTGGGTATTTCTCTGAGGAGGAGGAAGTTTTGGCTACATTGGCAAACACAGTCATCTTGGACTTCGTAAATCTTGGGGTTGCCTATGTAGTTGTGAAATCACAGGCTTAGGCTCATATACTAGAGTCTGAACTGCTAAGTGGTGCAGATTTGAAGATCATCTTGGTATTGAGCCTGGAGAATTTAAGTGCTTTTACCCTTTCCCTTCTCCATTTTTTCCTGTCTCATTACATGATCTTTCTGTGCCACTCTTGGAGCTTGTTTAGCTATTGCTTTACCAGCAGCATCACACCGTATATGAGAGGACCCAAATCAGCACTGAGTAACCCTAGTGATACTTAATTTTTAACACATCTGCTTTGTGTTTTTTAGTAAGCCTGTGGGTAGGGCACCGTTACGAAAGTGTCATAGCATCCACAAGTTCATCATTTGGAAATACTTGGAGGTGTTTCATATTAAGTATGTATTAATAGGTTATTACAGGCTTTAGGGTTACAAAATACAAATTGTTATATACATACATACATATGTAAAAATATATGTATAACTCTCTGCTAAATATGGATATACTAGCAGATAGATATATTAAATATGGATAAATGTGGGAATATTTAGCAGAGTTATACATATATTTTTATGCACACAGCTTTACTCATTAGCTAAAATCTGTTGTTTACTAACTCTAGCACTGCTTTAAGACTTCATGAAGAGCAACTTTTTTTTTGTGTTGTTTGGTCATGATGCTGTAAGGATAGTGTACATCTTCAGTTTTGATACTGGATTCACACACTCAGAATTCCTTCTTTTGGTTTCGTAGATCATTTGCGTCATTCGTTATCTTGCATCCATTGGCAAGGAAGTAAATATAGCACTTAAATGGAATTTTGAAGATATGGTAGAGTTTAGAACCCAGAAACAATTGTGAATGCATAAGTATGTTTTCTGCTAGAATATTTCGTGCTAACTATTACTAGTAGTTAATTATTACTAGTGGCTGTACCTCTGTTTTCTGTGTAGTAAGAGTTCTTATAACAATATAGCTTTAAGTCAAAGTTGATGGGTTTATTATTATTTAAATGACCTCTTATTCTAGGGTTTGCCTGTGTGGGTATTGAGGAAAACTAACAAAAAATGTGAAGCAGGCTTGCAGGTTTTCCTACATGACAGAATCTTTGCAGGCTTCTTCCAGGCAGAGATTTTGGAGATTGAGAAATGAACAGTGCATCTCTCACTATGAATGTATTTACATAGTAGTTACTTAAAAAGATGAAACAAATTAACTAAAACCGTGGATTTGCAAATGCATCAGTTCAGAGTACTTCAGGGTATCTCTCTGAAGACATGCCACTGGAATAGTAAGCAGTGAAATTCCATCTCAAATTAACAAATGGTTTGGATTTTAGCTTAAAAATAGTTAAACAAGGCTTATCTTAGCTGATTGACAACCATCAAGTCAGAAAGTTTCCCTCTTTTGGTATAAGCTGGCATAAGTGAGCTTGGTCATTCATGTGTTTTGTCTCTGTATTGTCTATTAGAAATACAAGACAGAATTTAGTGATATTTGTTAATAGTTCTTCAGGATAGTCTTACAGTATCCAAGATTTTGGAAGAACCACAGCATGTATTATGTACAGTATTTCAGCAGCTACCAGTAGGAAATACTTCCATGTTCTTACATTGTTGAAGTTATTCCCGAGTTGAGATTTTTCTAATGTAAACATGTTGTACAGTACTGCTTTTGGGAAAAATGTACTATATACACACCAGAAAATGGCTCTAATATGCAAGACAACAGTATTTCCAAAAGCTGAACTTTTAGTTTTCTGTTCGTTTGTTTTTATGTGTAATGCTGTCAAAGACTGCAGCTTTACAAAAATGTAGAGAATTAAAATAATTAACGTTAGAGTAGGGAGATATGATAAAAGGAGGTGTAATTTGCTAGGCAAAATAGGAGTTTAGATATAGCAAGTTAGTTTTGTTGCTTATTTCAAAGAGAGGAGCCTTTGGTTTTTTTTCTTTGTTGGTTTTTAATGGAAAATGTTGAGTTGTTTTAAATATTTGAAGGGGGGGAGGGGAAGGTTGTTTGATCTTATGTTGTTGTTAAATTTACTAGAGTTTCAGGGAGTGAACCGGGTGGTTCTGAAATAGATGCAGACTACCTTCAATTTTTCAAAATGTCCTAGTTCCTTTTCTCCTGGAAAATGTCCTTTTCAGCCTGTAAATAGCTACATTTGGGGATTTTTTTCTTTACTTCTGTACATTGCATTTGTAATATAACAGCTACTGAATTTATTTGGATTCTTTAGACAGGACATTTGGAGTGTTATCATGTCCATAGAAAATACCCTGGTATGTTTTTTCATGCTTCTGTGAAATATATCCTTTCCTATTGCATAAAATTGGACATAGAAAGTGGAAAAAAAATCACTTAGTATCTCTTAGTCAAACTCATCTTTTTCAAGTTTTACACTGATTAAGTAAGTCAAGAATTTCATGCAGGTTTGGTAAAGAATGAGTTGCTGAATTATTGCTGAATGCCTTCTTTGTTTTGGCGTTTACCAAGGGCAGCCCTTTAGAGTCCCAGGCCCTAGGAACAAGCGAAGAAGCTGGTGGAGAGGAAGACCTGCGCTGGGTAGAGGAAGATTGGGTCAGAGAGCACCTAAGGAACCTCAATACCACAAATCCATGGGCCCTGATGGGATGCACCCCAGAGTGCTGCGTGAGCTGGCAGAGGTCATAGCTAAGCCGCTCTCCATCATCTTTGAAAGATCCTGGAGAACAGGGGAGGTGCCGGAGGACTGGAAGAAGGCCAATGTCACGCCAGTCTTCAAAAAAGGCAAGAAGGACCCCGGCAACTACAGGCCAGTCAGCCTCACCTCCGTCCCCGGAAAAGTGATGGAGCGGCTCATACTGGCTGTTGTGTCCAGGCACATGGAGGACAAGAAGGTGCTCAAGAGTAGTCAGCATGGATTCACCAAGGG